AGTTACAAAACGAGAACGAACTGCTATGCGTTTTGCATATAAAGTTTGCATCTGTTTAAAATCCATATATACCACGGATATTTTTTATTTCAATTTTCTTATCAACGCATCGCAGGACATGAGAATTACTGGTTTAATAATTATCGGCATTAATTTCTAATTCTTTTTTTTTTATACTTCTAATTCTAATACTTTGGTTTCAAATCTCCAGAGATTGTCTAGGTCTCCACTGCTCCAGTCTAGGACCATAGTGACAGGCCTTTGACTGTCATAATGAAATTTAGGAAATATTAGGACCATAGGAAAATTTAACATTTCCAATGACATAAGGTTTTGTTGCCAAAAAGTAACAAATCAATGATGATAAATGAATGCAAAATTTACTGGTTACCATTGATTACCATCAGCAAAACTCCGTCGGTAATGGTAGATCTTGCAAGGGGATGCAAGTACAAAAATATAAAGAATGTATCCCAAGATAACTTAAAATATTAGAAAAATATCACAGCCGAGTCAAAGTTCTTCAAATTAGGTCAAGACACACGGTACAGCAGTTCGATCCTATTTCAACTTCACGATCACAATCGGAACAGAAACCGTCATTAGTCGCGATCGTCGAAAATGCTCTAAAGTTAACGAAACAAGTGTCGCACGCATCGAATTATTTTACTAGCTCTCAATCCTACTGCACACTTTATGTACACACGTGCGCTGCTGTAAACGTAAATGAATATGCGCGTTCAAGCTATGCAAGGTGATTTCTTAATTCAGAAGAAAAAAGAAAAAACTAAAGACGTCTCATTCCAGCCTGAAGAAAAAGACAAAAAATCGGATCATAAAATCAGTATGAAACACATGACTTCAATTAAATATTCAATTTATATTCGCTTTCTAAAAAACTATCGAAAATTCATAATGAAGTAAACTTCCTAGATTAATCGATTACAGAGCATACTCATTTACTATTATAATCTTTAATGATTATACTATCGAACAGCAATGCGTACGCCAATCACAATCAATGTAATTGACACCGCACACCCTGTTGCCAAAACGATAATTTATTGCACGTATAAAGATATGACAATGTCAGACGCATTTTTGTCTGCCGACGGAGGCTCCGCATTTAAAATCATTTTATACGTTCTTGAATGGACTCAAAGGGTCCGAGGAGTTATAAGGCTGTAAACTTAATTTAGCGAGCGACCAAGAGATACCGGTACGAATAATCTAATATGTCGTTCAACTCGTTAATGTTATGGTTATGTTCCGTCTCTGTCAGTTTCACATTAGAATACATTTTATTAAACGTTGAAACGAGTGTTGACAAAATTTTGGATGACAGCCTTGAAAGATAGTCAAACACACAGCTCTCGAGTAATAACATTATTGAGTAATTCTTGTATTATAAATCCAAGTATAATCCAAGGAAAAATATAGGCTTGTAGAAATTCATTAATCAACCGAGAGTCAGGCGAATGCTGTTAACATATATCTAGCCAATGAAGTAAACAGGTGCAAGGAATCTTTTTATATCGCTCTGAAAATTTATATTTGTTTACTAGTTATAAAAATTGTCGTGGAAGCAAAATCTTTCACTATAGTACTACTGCAGTCCCATAAAAACTCCGGGCAGAGTATTTTGTCTGCACCACCATTGTCTATGAAAGATTAACCCAAAAGTCAGTAAGAATATTTCTTTATATAAAAAAAAGTTTTACAGCAAACGAAAAGCTCGACCTCAACTGTTCTCAAAGTTCTTCGAGATTGTTTTCTTTTTCTTTTGGGCTGCGGAGTTTCATTCTCCTGACATATTATGTTGTTTCCCACAAAACAGACACGTTAAAGCAAAAAGCTAGAGATGCGATAAAAGTATTAAATGTTTTGTACTAATCTAATTCAATTGTATTCAATTATTGCGCTAGTCTTGTGCCAAAAAGTTTTGCACGCGAGCGTACATTATTGTGCGTTGATGAATTTAGTTTTCCATTGAGAGAAATACGATATAGGTACTGGGCTTGAGCGTGGAATTTGAAAATAGAATCTTTTAAGGATTTCACAATATTTTTATTTAAATTATAATAGCGACTTTCGGCTAGTCAATGAAATGTGGTTATTCGACAAAATTTCATACGGTCAATGTTAAATGCATTCTTTATTTTAGTCGTTCAAAACGTCTTGGTTAATTTAATTCAGGGAATGCGTCTTCTTTTGCATTTACAGGGTCATAAATGTCAGGATTCTCGCGCAGTCATGAAGAAATAGCGGCAGGCTAATACACGCCATTGTATGTCATGAGATCTAACAAAGAACTCAGTTAAGTGCCTACACCATTTTTGGCCAGCGTTTATTCTTCTTGAATCTTATTTTACTCTTTTATCAAGAGCATACGCAATAAACATTACTTTCCTCCCCGTTACGTATTAACAACAATATTTTAGAGCTCAAGCTCTATTCCGAGCATCAAGATTTTGAAAATATCATTTCATAAATCTATTGTTACAAAGCGCCAATCGAAGAATGAATCTTCATTTAAAAAAATCTAAATTAACCCAATATATTTTCAAAATAATTTCATTCTAATGCTATATCTAATGCAAATGATTCCAAAATGACATTAACCTCACATGTAGTATTATTATAATACAACAATTACATATTTACGTGCAAATCCTATGCCAAATTATATTCAGACTAGGTATACTGCATGGTCTTCGATAGGTCGGATAGGAAGTTTCAAAGAATAAAAAATCTTTTGAAATTCTCGTGCAATTTATAGGTTCGTTTCTATGTAGTCAATCGCTGGCCTTCACTGTTGCTATTGCTGTTCCATTTATCAGGAAATAGAAAATGATTGATAAATAATAAATTGTCATCTAACGATATGGAATTTTCAATGTAAAATTCCAATCGATACATTTAAACAGTATTATTATTATTATTATTGTCGCCGTCTTTATTATGATTATACAGCATCATCACGGTAACGAGTAACACGCGGAATGATGAGTAAACGGCGGAACGTGGCATTAAAGCGGAATCCTACCGTGAATCTGAGACTTCAACTAGGAAACCAGGAACCTGACGAGGTTACGTGATGTTAAGTGCTACCACTCTATGATAAAACTAATAACGCACTCCCCACTTCGTCATTTGATGAACTGATACTTCCGTACAAGTTTTATTTCTTTTTGTGCATTCCTATTTTAGAAAGGATGCTCTTCACAGAAATTTACGATAATACAACAAAAAATAAAGAATAGATACAAATTACACAGGGGAAGGTTGCCTAATTTGTAAAAGGATCCGAACCGTGTCATCGCTATAGTCGACTAGCTATGCTTCTTTAACAAACATTTGTAAGGTATTAATATAATATTATTACACAAAGGTAGCACATTTCACGTTATATTTAAGTTTTGTTTTAGTTATCGTTAAATAATTTATGAATCAGAATATAAAAAGTTATAAGAATTAAGCAAGCTTACCCTACCTAATACATATGTAATATATGACGTATTGAACAAATGACGACCGTTCAAACACCAAAATGAGTTTTTTGTTTCAACATTAACTACGGAATGACGCTGACATGTTTCTAAAGTTACACTATCCCATTGGCATGTCAAAACGGTTTAAGGGCTGGCACTATGCATATTTGTTCCAGCAAGATAAGAAAAGTATACAGACGAAATATGTAAGTGCGCTTGTGCTGAACCGGAAGTGACACAAAAAACGTCATGATTGATCAGGAGATTTTTGCTAGTCTCCAAAATGTTACAGCATGTGTATATGGCCACCAAACGAAAACAGATACAGGTGGTAAACTGGATGTCTGACTTGTCATAGACAGTTATGCAATAATGAATTAAAACAAAAAATGTTCAAAGGTCGATTAACTATATGATTACAAATAGTATTATACTTCTCTTATTATATGGTTTAATTTGTGTAATTAGTTTATTGCATACATCCAAAATGTCACACTGTTACAGTTGACAACTTCCCAATGTCCGTGCCAATGCCCATGTATGAACAAAAACTCTGTGAAAAACTGTGAGTGAATAGTCGAAGAAAAAGAGGCTGTTGGCAAGACTTTTTTGTATTGCACGTCGCGTCGAGTGCAGCGAAACGAATGGAAATAGCTTTTGATCCTAAGTTAACTTGTCGTTTTCATCATTTGAATAAAAACTTGTTGAAGTAAACTTCTGATTCTGACAGATAAATCCCTAAGACAGGCAGAATCGAGAAATTGCTTGAGTTATAACGTGTAATTTAATCATTTGCATACAAAAGGAATGTATGTATATGTAATAAATGAAGTATCGTAATACTTGTATTGATACTATACAGAAAGATTTCAATTCAAAGCTGATGCGAAGATCACTGATTTCTTTACATGTGTGTTTCCATGTTTCTCATTGACTAGCGACAGTGTTAATGAACTACAGTATGTATCCATTGTAGACTGAAGTAACGCGAAGGTGGCACGAGGTATGTATATAGGCCTGTAATAGGACACTTGGAAGTAATCTTGGACGCAGACTCGTCCATAACCTAGATGGTCGTGTTTCTCGATGAGAGCAGATGAACCGATTGGAGAATTAAGTACGAAGAAGCGATATACGATATTTGGTGTAGAGTATATTTCTGAAGAAGCACAAGATACAGTAGGGCGTCAATCAAAGAAAGACACAATTGAAAAAAAGCAGCCGGGAGTTATATTCAGTACGACGAGTTCGCGGCACAATCAAGAAATACAAATAAAAAGTTAACAGCATCGCAAACTAACTGACCAATATACTCTTAGGATTTAGCTACAAATCTGTCGAGATGAACTAGAGGGACCATGCGTTTCGAGAGCAGTAGACATCTGTGTAGCAGGACAAGCTCCACTTTGCTCTCAACGACCCAGCTTCTATCATTTCACCATGATTCACATATGCCGTTTAAACAGTATGACCCCTTGGAAGAATCGCCAAGTATTTCCAAGTACTCACCACCGGTGGTTCTGGCGATTAGCACTCCTAGGCCGATCCACAGGCCGTATTTACATCGCCGACCTGGGTTAGCGGACAGCGCAGCCATTTTCTACACTTGGGAGCACATACTTCACTGTGACGTAGATTCTCGGCGTCAGGCCGCAAGGCGCAGGCTGCTACGATTTCGGTTCTCTTCGTGTTCTTGAGTGGGGGTTGTACCAAGTGGTGAGGGTAACTTCGGCTCGTCTCGGCTTGGTCTTCCGGAGGGGGAACAAGGGAGACCTTTGGGGGCGTCAGCGATGGCGGGAGAGTGCAACGGCGCCCGCTGGGCGCCACTGTGCCGCGACGCCGCAGAAACTCAACCTCGCCGCCTACCCCCCGTATCCCCTTCTCATCATTCTTCCCCACTAGTAAACTTCTTCTTTTCTTCCTCTTACATTAGGATTGTACGATAGCTCTCTCATCTTTACTCGCCAGCGAGACACTTCCAGGTACCTCGCCACGCTACTCTGGTTTATGTGATCCTTACTACCTAGTCTCTCTTGTTCTCCAAGGCATGGCATGTTGGATCTTGCATTATATATTTTCAGTAGGGGCATTCTACTCACAATTCTCTGGAATAATCATTGGCGCGCTTCGATACTTCTACAGTCGACGAATTTTAATGGGATTAACGAGAAGAAAAATAGACTGAAGTTTACTTTCCAGCATACGGTGCAACAATCATGTCTGCGTTTGATCCCATCGATCGGAGCCTGTTACACGAAATAAACGTTATGACAACCATATTTTCGTCAATTAGGTTCATTTACGATCAGAAAATAATAGAGTAGGGATACATAATAGATGTTCAGTAAACATAGTTTTTATAAGCTACAAATTCATACGTGCTTCTTAAATAATATTTTAGTTTACTAGATAAAATCTTACAGTGATGGAAATTCTATTCTATTTTCAGAGATACGTGTAATGATGACCAAGTTGAGATTCTAGTTAAAGTGGAACACGAGTCCTTTTATGCGCCTTTAGATTGTCACGGGTATCGGGTAGTATTCCATAAACGTTTGAGCGGAGTGTCCGAGACTGGAATGAGACTCAGTAGTCTTCGGTAGTGCAGAAACTAGAGCCTAAGATTATTCTTATTGTTAGTCTTATTTTTAAACGTAAACCTTTAAAACTTAAAATTAGTCAAGCAGATCGTGTTCCTAAGATCCTGGACTCATGAATCCAAGACTGGAACAAATCTCGACCTTCCAGCATAGTCTCGACCAAAAGGAACCCTAAATTCAGCTTTCTGCAGTAACTGACACATGCTCCACGAACCCTACTCAAGTGTAGACTGTAGACGAAGCATTCAAATCTTAGGCTCCAGTGAGGATGCAGTTCTAAAACATCGTTCACACGATGCCATCTTTAAATGTATACATACTTATTTACCTCACTAAGTATTTGCGCGCGACATTCCATTACATCCAGTCTGATGTTACTCCTCGCGTGTACATACATAACAGCGATTAAAGGACACCGACAACGATGCGCAATACTTAAAATGACGTCGTACAATTTATCGATTAAATCGATAATTCTCACACGATCAAAATTGTTTGATTTACGACAATCCCGCTATGGGTATCTATTGGTAACCTGTTGCGCTGTAAAAAAGGTTTGGCGAAACTGCACCAATTAATTTTAAAGAAATAACCTTTAAATCTCATATTAAAGGAGAATTGTATTTTTAAAGATGATCGGCTACATTTTTATGAAAAGATGGCGGACGCTGTTTCCACGGGGAATTGTACAAAGGATCCTATTATACGGTATACGGGCGCATCTTGCACGAGAGTTATACTACTCTCTCGTTTGGTTGATTATCAATCGGCTCGATGAACTCCTCTGTGCATTGTGAATTGCATCACTTGACTTTCTACAAATCACGTGACCTATTGTTCCTACGGGATTTCAATTATCGTCAGACATTATCTTGGACTTAGAGGATTGGTTTAGCTTTTGAGTCTTAAAATTCATGTATCTGCATACGTAATATATTACAAGTATATCCAAAGTATTTAAATGTTTTATGCACTTTTATTGTATTTGTTTATTTATTTTATTAAGACCTTGTATATTATTATAGTATTATTGCAATATATTATTAACTAAAACACTATAACAATCAGTAATAATACAGAAAAATATCTTTTATTGTATTTCTTTGAGAACTCCCTTTATTTTTTGGAGTTACCATGAAAATAATTTTTTTCATATAAGTTTTTACCTTTTGTTGCCAATCTCTGAAGGGTAGAAGATTTCCCAGTAGAATTATCCGTATCGAGTTAACTATGTGAAGTTAACCGTGTAGAGTTACTCCGTGTCAAGTTGAGCTGCTCGTATATTAATGCAACTATTTTTTTTTTTTAATAGATGACGTTTTTATGATGAATAATAATAACTTGCAACTATCGCACGTTCTTCTTTCTGTACAACTTTCTTCAACGAAAGAGGGCACGGTAGCAGTAATTAGTACATCGAAACTGATAGGTGTGTGCAATAGCATGCTTGACGTGAGAAATCAAGAGAACGGCAAATTAACGATCCTCTCGATCGATTACCACGCCTACCGTGCTCCGCAGGGTGCACTGTAGCACTATACGATCCCTATACTTTGATACTTCTGTATTCTATAACAATGGGTATAGAAACTTAGCTTTAGGAAACGTAGTAGAGTGATGTGGATTTTTTTAACAAATGCTCAAAGAATATCCCGTAATGTGTCGCCAGAGGGCACGTTTAAATATTATTTTTTGGACAAATGACTATACAATTACCTAAAAACTCTAGATAGTGACGTCATAGGCCTCTAAAATATTTTTAAGGAAGGAAAAACCTATTCAAAATATTTTTGACGGTCTTTTATTTGACCATTTGTTACAAAAACTGTTGTATCTATCTAGTGCATATGAGTATAAGACTCGTGTGATTGGCAGACTCGCTTACAACGGCTCGTTTACCAAACTTCACACTCGTGTTTTAATCTCATTCGTACTAGCTAGATAAAATACTATTATAACAAGCTTCGAGTATGATTATTTAATTATTCTATATAGTAAATATATAATATATCTTACTGATAAGAGAACTGTGTAAGATTAGATAAACTACAAACAAAAAAGAAAGAAATTGAATTCACTGATAAAATGACTTAAATGACTAATGATATGAATTTTGATATTTTTTATTTTCATTATTCAACTTTTTTTTTTTTGAAAACGTAAAAATCTTGCTCGTTTTCCTACTTCATGATATCAGTTATAAAGCACCTTGCGTACCACTACTAATATTATACCCATTATTCAGAAATTGACTATATATAATTTTCATTTGAATTTGCTGTATGGAGAATAATGTATAGAACTGATTATTAGAGTAATGGTTAATATTTGGATAACAAATTTCTAGTGATAATGACAATGGTAAATTTTGACAGAATTGTTGCCATAGCTAAAAGAACTTGTTGTTTGCGAAATACTAAAAATTGCTCTATTAATTCATTATCTGCGAGCGGAATATTCGCAATGCATATAATTTCTATATATACATATATTTGTGAATAGTATCGATATTGTAAATTATTAAAACATAATCATTAATTTCTTAATTTTATATGCTCTATAGAATGATTAAGCCTAACCATACCTCAAAATACGCTGCTAATGTAGTTTCTGGTATATTTATTCAAGTAAACAGGGTATTACGTGAAACGTATATGTCAGCCGTAATTTTCTACTAATTCTCGCAACGTCAATACAAAAACGTTGTTACATGTACGTTAAGAAAATCATTATAAAATATAAAATTACAATCAGTCTCCACGTTACATGCAAATTTGTGTTTGCTGATATATCATACATTTCTGAGTCTTTGACAAATTAGTCTCCGAAGTATATTATAATTTTTCATGCAAAAATCATAATTTCTATGAACACTCGGTTATAATAATCTCTCAAGTGGTATAACGATCCTTTCAGACAGCCGTCGGGTATTTGGTACATTCGCTTAATTAGTAATTTATGCTAATTGGTGAATAATAAAAATTCCGCGAATAAGTGCGTCTTTACTCTCAAACTAGTTGATTGCTACGATAGTCAACACTAAATATGAATGTGACAAGTTCATGACATGCTGCTCGTTTCCTCGTTTATCACCATTTATACAATCTTTAAGACTGTGCAAATTTCCGCTCAACTCAAGAATTGCGGAAAAATGATATACATTCGATCTATGGGTATAAGCGAACCGGAACTCTTATCACCACTGCCTACGAACGTATAACATATATTGCTCTTCTTGGAATTTTGCACGTGCACTCGACGTCTGTTGCAAGTGCAACTTAGTCCCACGCGCAACCGTATTTTACTTCACGTTCTGTTACTATTTATTACATTACTTTCCCCATTAGTCACTTTTCTGAATTCCTCTTTTTTTCCCTTGTAATTCTAAACGAGCTGTGTCAGTATCACGTATATGATGGAATCTCATGTTTGTAAAAGTAAGAATTAAAAAACTTATTTTAAGGAGAAATATACTTTGACTTTTAAATTTATATGGTCGAAACGTTACACATTAATATGTATCATAAATTTGAATTTTCATTAAATGGATAAATCATAGGTATATTTAATTTTTTTTAAATTATTTTTATATATTCATATGCAATTGTTTGACGCCATTGTGCGAGCTACCGGATACGTAATTAATCGAAGAGTCAAATTAAATTTTAGGAGACTCTTTTACATTAGAAATCATAGAAAGATGGCCCCTCGAAAACGCAGTTTACGCGTGGTCAAATTAACTATCGACATGAAAAAAATTTTCAAAAAATTCAAATTCGTGACACATTACTTTTCACAATGTGCACTTTTGAAAAATTATAATATAAAGCATTCATTTCAAAGTGCAACACCCAGATCTACGTATATTCCATATGTGAATGATCGAATGAGCAGTCAAGTTACACACACCGTATAGGTATGGAGCTAAGCCGTATCTAACTTCAAGTCCACGTGACAGTTAGTATGGCAGTTAAAACATATTTGAACAGCAGGCGTGTTTTCGTGGAACTTCGTGAGTTACATTATACAGATCCAAACATATGTGTTTAATCGGCAACATTTAT